GAGAGAGACAGAGAGAGAGAGAGAGAGAGAGAGAGAGAGAGAGAGTGAGAGAGAGAGAGAGACGGGGCAGGTCTGCGAGGCAGCAGGTGGGGTGATGGATGGCGAGGTGGCGTGGGAGAGGGGTGCGATAAGGGGGTAAGGGGGGAGGGGTGCTGCCCTCGGGTTCTGGTAGTACTAGTTGTTCGAGACGCAGCCGCCAGGGGGCGTGGTGGTAAGTCACCGGCGTGCCAAGCTGCCAGCGGTGACGTTCTGACTTATGCAGATTAACCCGAGCCCGGACGCGTGCGAATCAGCTGTATGCCGGCTCCACCCGCCCTGTCTCTCTCGCACCCGTCCCGCCAAGTCGTCCGGGCGAGGAAGGGAGGGAGGGAATGCCCATACTACGGCCCCGGCGAAGACAGCCGACGGTCTTGATGCTCGAGGCTCGTGTTGCTTTACCCGCCTGCCCCCCTCCACCTTGTCCAGCACGCCTGCCTTCTGGTAAGGTCAGGGAGAACACACCACGGAGCGTTAAATAATAAGACATTACCGCGCTCGAACACGACACAATGCAAGCGGGCGTTAATTTCTAATTATCCGTCTCTTTGACCCGCTGACCTCCCCTGCCCGCTCGAGGCGACTAACTTGTTTGCATTCTCCTTATACCTTATCCTCCGACGGCTACTCCCACGCGCGGGGCGCGGGGCATGACGCACTCGCCATAGCGGAGAGGCGGGGCGGGGCGGGGCGGGGCCCAGCTTCTGCACCACATCACGGTGGGAAGGAGTGCGCGGTGAGACCATCATCATGACCGGCCCGAAGGAGCGGAGAGAATTAAGACGCGGGCTATCGAGTTCCCCGCCCACAGAGCCACACCCGCGGCAATCACAACTCTTCTCCCCCCCCCTCCCCCCCTCCACCTCTCCCCCCACGTCCTTTACCTCTCTCTGAACCGTGATGACGTATTGATGGCTCTCGGCTCGCAGTTCGGACGCTGTGGGTATGTATTTCTTTTCCGTCGCCTCTTTTTTTTTCTTTCGCCATTTTATTTCTCTGTCCTGGTTTGCGACCCCTGCGCGTTTCGCTTGCTTGTTTGTGTTTCCTTTTTGGAATACGCACCCCCTCCATTTTGCGCGTGGTCCTATTACTTTTTTTACGTTTGGCTATAGCGGCGGCGATGACGTGGAATTCGCCATGCGGTTCTGGCCAAACGTACACAACATCACTTTGGCCGACTTTATGGCCGCATGGCCTCGGGTTGGGGCGATGATGGGGACGGGAGCTCTAGAGGGTGAAGAGGGTGTGAGGGGTGGCGGGAGTAAACCGGAAAAAGGGTAGGGGGAGGGGAGCAGTCCGAGGAGATTGGCATATAAAATGGGATAAAGTCCATCCCCGGCCGCCGTGCTAATCCCGTGACGGCATCGCTCGATT